CAGCAGGTATATCCCTTTAATATTGTACTTCCACACACACACAGGATCTAATAAATCCAAACCTGAGATCAAGTGTAGCATAAGGAGAGGCTGCACAAATCAAGAGTACAGCCTGTAGTCTCTTTTTTTGTGACTTTGTTCAGGTTAGCTATTGCACAACGATGATGCATGTAACACACACACACACACACACACACATATATCAGTAGCATACATTGATAGCATTTATTTCTGTGTAGGAGCCTATTAGGACAGGTCTACTGATCCAAGCTTGGTGTCTGTCGCAGGGTGGAAGTCAGTGAGGTGCCTTTACTGCCCATGGCTGGACTGTCATATGTGTCTGCTCCAGAGTCACCCATCCACCAACAAGCCAGCCTGGACTTATTCTGAGGGCCATGTCAGAGTTCCCTGAGGAGGACACCGCAGCTGAACCATCCATTGTTACTTCACCTGCCCTTTGTTACTTCCAAGACAAGTCCCAAGGCCAGCCCAGAGGTAGAGAAATAAACCACTTCTGGATGGGAAAGCCTGCAAAGTCACATCATAGAAAGGGTACAGACAAGGAGGGTAGAACCGGGACTATGCTTTATTTTATATCCAGCTGTCACCAGTGTGGGGCCTGTTGCTTGGCTTCTGGTTTAGCATCTCTTACCTGTGACCCACAGGTGATGACACAGCTCAAGAAGAGAATGGAAATGACCATACTGTTAAATTGAAGTTCAGTGTAACACTTCAAGTGAAGTGAACTAAGATTCTGGGGGTGGAGGAGAGTGAAATCTTACCAAAGAATCCTAAATACTTGTGTGTGGATGCTGGTGGTCTCTGCTGGTGCTGGAAGACTCTCATCTCTGAAAGTGAAAAACAGCGAAGAGTTCTGGGCCTCAGAGCCAGCCTCAGACCAGCCCAAGATCAAGACCAGATGCCTGATTTACAATGGCTGCTGCCCTTCTGCAATTCTCCAGCAAACTTTAGGACCATCACATTGGTTCTCTCCAGGAGTAATCTGGTCTTACACCTGTATTTTGAAAAAGTGTTATCTTTTTTCTTGGGGGTGGTTGGAAATTAACCCCCCACCCCTTCCCAGGACTTTATGCATGCCAGGTGACACTTGGCCATGGAGCTACATCCCCAACCCTTGTTTCTTTAAGATAAGTCTCCCTGTGTATCCCAGGCTGGCCTCAAACTCACAATTCTTCTGCCTCCACCTCCTGAGTTGCTGGGATTAGACTTACATCACGCAGGTGGAGCGTATACCAATCTTAGCAGCATTTTTAAGCTCTAGTGTCCACAGGAAGCCACTTCTGCTGAGATGTCCAAAAGATATACATAGGCTTTATCTCTTCAAGTTCTGAAACTTCTCCATCTAGAACTCTCTTCCAGACCCCAGTGTACCTGTCAGTACCTCTGGGAAGCACTGTTTGGTTTCAGTTGCCTCATGATGCATAAGGAAGAAGTGGTTTCTGGAATAACTGCCACCTGGACCTTTCAAAAATAAAACCAAATGGCAAGGCAGACTGCCAGCAGCCTCGTGCATGCAATGCTTGCTAAAGCCTACTCAAAACATCAAGTCACCCGAATTAGACACCTTGAAATGTTATCTCTAATTCATATGATAAAGGTCTTGTTTTCAATTCAGACTGGGCTTGAGAGATCCAGGCAAATTAAGCCCCCTTGCACCTGAATTTTGTTTGGGAGGTCAGATACACTGTAGTGTGAGCAAGTAGAAGCCCAGGGAGTCACAGTTTTCAGAACTGCGTGCATCACCAGGGAGGAGAGGATCCTGGAGCAGGGGTTATCTGTTCTTTGACCCTATGGCACAAAGGCCTTCAGAGGAACTATGACTGAGTTTCACCCAAAGCTGTCTTCCACTTAAAACCCTCTTAAAGGCTAAAGGCAAACAAATCCTTCTTGAAACCTGAGCCTGTTTAAGATGTCTTTGCTAAAATCCCCTCTGAACCATTAGCTGTGATGTCATATCATTTCCTTTTCCTGCGAGGAACATTCTTGGTGATTATCACTACAAGGAATTATAAGTCTCGCCATAAGAAGATCTGCTTAGTTTCCTACAGTGATAATGTGGTACTAAGGCGATTTTCTGAATTTTACCTGAGGCATTTTTCATTTCACCCCACTTCTAAACCTTTCCGTTTGCCTCTCCTGAGCTCGAAACTGTGTGATGGTTGCTTTAGGTCTGAGTTGATCCTGCACAGAACAACAGAAGTTAGTCAGACTTTCTTCAGTATGAAATCTAGATCTTTGGGCAACTTAAAGTTTGTTTTGTAATAGTATTGTAGGCTATTTTTTTATTTTTATAATCTGTATATCCAGTGGCCAGGTGCTTCTTTGCAAGTCTTTATTCAAAAATAGAAAAGGCTACATCTCAGATTGAACTAGGTTACCTTTAAAATGTGTCTTTTTTGACCAAAAATCGTATGTTCTCCCTCATATGTGGACATTAGATCAAGGGCAAACACAACAAAGGGATTGGACTATGAGCACATGATAAAAGCGAGAGCACACAAGGGAGGGGTGAGGATAGGTAAGACACCTAAAAAACTAGCTAGCATTTGTTGCCCTTAATGCAGAGAAACTAAAGCAGATACCTTAAAGCAACTGAGGCCAATAGGAAAAGGGGACCAGGAACTAGAGAAAAGGTTAGATCAAAAAGAATTAACCTAGAAGGTAATACCCACGCACAGGAAATCAATGTGAGTCAATGCCCTGTATAGCTATCCTTATCTCAACCAGCAAAACCCCTTGTTCCTTCCTATTATTGCTTATACTCTCTCTACAACAAAATTAGAGATAAGGGCAAAATAGTTTCTGCTGGGTATTGAGGGGGGGAGCGGGAGGGGGTGGAGTGGGTGGTAAGGGAGGGGGTGGGGGCGGGGGGAGAAATGAACCAAGCCTTGTATGCACATATGAATAATAAAAGAAAAATGAAAAAAAAAATTTTTCCCTATAGTCTTTACAAAAAAAAAATGTGTCTTTTTTTAATATAATATTTACATTTTTTATCGTTTTTGCATTTACTTATATGTGTCTACATTGTGCCACCTCTCCCCCAACCCCAAAGTGTGTCTCTTTTTAACTTGCAAAATTTTCTTTCTCGTCATCTTCCAAACCGCAGATCTTGAGTTTTATTGTTAAAAGTGGGTTGGTCTTATTTTAGACCGACACATGGCTATTAAAAATTTTTAAACTTAATTAAAATGGATCAAAGGAAAGCCTCAACATACTCTATTTCTGTTGGTGGGGGGAGGAATACGTGGAAAAAAGTTTAAAAGGAGGCAAATCCCAGCACAACAAGAGGGCAGGCCACCTGATAGATAAAGACAGCTGGAGTACACTCTGTCAGAGAGTTAATTTTATATCAGGAATTGCTGTGGCAAGGCGAGATGTATTAGAATAAGTGACTTTAGACATACATTTAGAAAGTCACATTGCCTCTAAAATTCTGCGTTCCTTTTAATAAGTAGAGAAAGGAAGACAGTTAACCTATACAGAGCACCTACCCACTCCAAATTCTGAATGAACTCTTAATCCTTCCTGCTAAGCACTGAGGTGTGTGTTACTCATCTATACCATTTTACAGATGAGGAAACTGAGGTTCATAGAACATGTACTATGTACCTGGAGAAAGAAGTAAGGATTTGGAACCGTAGTCCAGCTGACATCAAGCACCCCATGAGCTGATCACATGGGAACCTATTGCCAGCCACCCACTAGCCTGGTCCCAGCCTCCTTGCCTGTGGACATACTGGGGAATAGGCTGCACTTCCTTAAAGGGGAAATGAGTAATTACAAAATTGAACAATAGGTGGCAGTACACACCTGCAACAACTACAGTGCCTATGTTAAATCAGTCATTCTTTTTTCTGGGTTCTGTATTGTTTTTTAATCAAAAACACATTTTAAATCTGTCTTTTGAGAAATGTCTACAAAGCATCACTACCATCAGAATTTTTTTAAAAATACAAATTTTATCAAATAAGTGTCTATTTGCATTTCTATTTGAAATGCATTTGCATTTCAGGGCAAATTCCATGTCTTCTACTCCAACCTGCCTGAGATCTACTTCCTATGATGTCTTCTTGCTTAGGAAACTCCTGCTTTTCCTTTTTCTATGCTTAGCTCACACAGAGACCAGGCTACTAAATAGGCTAAGAAAAGTACTTCTTTAAAAGCTCCTCACCACCAAAATGTGCTGGGATGTGTGCCCCTTCCAAAGGAAGCTGGGATCTGCCTTGTGGCCAAGTGCACAGAAATGCCTGGCGGAGTTACCCTTTGTGACCATATTTCTGACAACATCTGTCCTGGGGCATAAAGAGTTACCATACACCATAATGAGCTCCTGGGAGGTCTCTATCCCTTCCGCTGTCAGGAGGCCATGGGCAGAACCTTGCTGCATCCAACCTCTGCTTCTTCTGACTGGCTTTCGGGTTTCCTTGCATTTCTCTAAAGTGAACCTGTGGTGTTTCTCTCTCAGTGAGAGAAAATGAGCTCCCTCCATTGGCTTTTGGCAACTGCCTTAAATAAAGGTTTCTTTCAGGTGACCCTATTCTACTGGCAGGGGGTGTCTTTCTGCAGAGAGCTGTGGCCTTGGAATGCTGGCTCTAGTGAGTTTCTTTGGATTGTCCTGCCTGACAGGACTGCCAAGGACAGAGTTCATGTTCATCTTGATCTGCAAACTTCTGACAATTTTTTTATTGTGCGTTTCTATGTGTTTGGTATTGCCCTGTGTGCTATAATGTATGGCCTTAAATTGTTCTGTTTTTCACCAAGCATGAAATCAATGTGGACAAAAGAAAATACCAATAGAATATTAGATAGTCCTCTAATTAGAGTTATCAATTAAAAGTGGAGAATAATAGCACTCCCTTACTCCTTCTCATGAAAAGCATCTAAAACCACTACTTTCTGCCAGCAAATTCTGTTCTATTGCTACAGCCAAATACCAGCTAGCCAAGTAGAATAGCGTCCTCTTTGTTTCTCTCCAGACTGCAGAGTGGGATGAACCTGCAGATCTGCTTTGTCAATGACAGTGGCAGTGATAAGGACAGTGATGCCGATGACAGTAAGACCGAAACCAGCTTGGACACCCCCTTGTCTCCCATGGTAAGTCCTCACGGCTCCCAGCTGCAGCTGGCCTGTGCTTTCTGGCTTTTTTGCTTCTGTTCCATTGTGAATCAGGAGCAAACATTCCAGAGATTGAAAACAAAAGTCTCTTAGAAGTGTCTGCTTCTAGAACTTTATACTGATTGAAAAGCCAAAGTTGTGATACAATAAAGATATATAAAGTTTATTAAAGTTAATGACAGATTTCATATGCTTGCTTTATTTTTTTTTTATAGAACCAGATTTTTTTTACTTTAAAGGGTGAAGCTTTAATTTTTTGTTTGTTTATGTGCAGTACTGGGGATTGAACTCTGGCCTTCATGAATGCTAGACAAGCTATCACTGAGCTATACCCCCGGCCACATGTGCTCTTTAAATTATAAAGACAAGCTGAGCTGAGCATGGTGGGATATATCTGTAATCCCAGCACTCAGGAAGCTATGGCAGAACAATCATATGTTTGAGGCCAGCCTTGGGTACCTAGGGTGACCCTGTATCAAAAAAAGTTATAAAGGGAAAATATGATAAATAAAAATCCAGCCCCATTGGGATTAGAAATATGACCTCATTCCCACATTTTACAGAAGGCTGAATAATAATGAGTGCTAGCTACTGGGATTTTTTCCCTCTCTGTGAGGTCTTTCTTTTTTTTAACCAAAACCAACAAGTAGGAAACTTTGTTGGTTACTAAGCACAGAGCACCATCAGAACATCTTTGGAACCTGAGGTCCTGCCTACTCCGATGACCAACACAGTGTCTTAGGTCTGGGTTTTATATTTGTTAATATTTCCCCATTATTATTCTGCTCTTTTTATTTATGCTAAAGTCAAAGTCCATTATAAAATAGGCCTTCTTTAAGTTACTTGAGATTGGTGTAGATCTAATGAAGCAGCGGGTGGAGGTGACAGAGGGACCTCCAGCCACTCTGATAGAGGGCTCAGGGAATGCCATGGGCTGTCCCCAAACCACGGGCGCTCAGGCTGCTCTCTCTTCCTTTACAGAGCAAACAGAGTTCTTCCTATTCCGATCGCGACACTACTGAAGAGGAGTCTGAATCTTTGGATGACATGGACTTCCTTACAAGGCAAAAGAAATTGCAAGCTGAAGCCAAAATGGCCCTTGCCATGGCCAAACCAATGGCCAAAATGCAAGTCGAGGTGGAAAAGCAGAACAGGAAAAAGTCTCCCGTCGCTGATCTCGTAAGCAGCAAAGGCTGAGGCGCAGGGTGGCCGGCGTCTGGGGCTTCAATGCAACCCTGATGCTTCCCGGTCCTCTCCCAGAGTTGTGCAAACTTGGGGTTCTCCAAGGCAGTTTGTAAAAAACACTGTCATTGAGAAATAAGTTTCCTTTTCCTTCTTACTGTCACACCGAAAGACACATAAGCGAGGATTTCACAAAAGTACACTGTTCTTGATTCAGATTTACTATGTTTCTGAAGGATAATATTGGCCGTTGTAGGAATATTTAAATTCCCTTCAAGCAACGTTGGTTTAAGAACCTGTTAACTGTGGTGGACTCACTATTATAATTCTTATTCCCTCCTTTTCAGGGAGACAGTATAGCATAGTTGACTAAGACTTCTGAACTTTGAAGTTAAATTTCACTCTGCCATTACTGCCGTGGGATTCTGGGTAAATGACCCAAGTCTCACTCTTGTCATCTGTGAAATGGGGAGATAGGCACTCCCAGCACATCACATGGTGCTTGTGGAACAGTGTACGTTATTAAACAGAGCTGACATTATCAGTTTATCCATGCCATTGATATGATATATGCCCCTTGGTGACTCATTTGTGTTAAACATCAATCAGAAAGCTTTGGATGCAGGTAAGAGAGCGTTTTAATGCAAAGAGCATAGTTGTGCAATGCGGGGTGTGTGCTCGGGCCCCAAGTTGGGGAGGTCACAGACTCAGGAGAGCGCCGAACCTGAGTTGCAGTGGGGAAGGAGGATCTCATAAGAGAAAACTCGGCCCCATGTTCAGGGTGTGCGGCTCTGTTGACACCTCCCCTTCTGCCCCTTCGTGTCCTCAGCTGCCACACTTACCTCATATAAGTGAATGCTTGATGAAAAGAAGTTTGAAGCCTGCCGACCTGAGAGACATGACCATTGGGCAGCTACAAGTGATAGTCAATGACCTCCATTCCCAGATCGAAAGTAAGTGGGAGACCTACTTGGACATGAGTGTAACACCCAAAACCTGACAGGACAGTGGTACGGTGCTTTCACTGGGCTGCTCTTGTGTGTTGCAAGGAACAGAAGAGAGTCACAAGGCATTTGTTTGTTTTTGTTGCTTTTTAAACTAAAATGTTTAAACTTCAGAAGCTTTCAGAAGTTTTCAAGGTTGTCCATGGTTATGGGTCCTTTTTATTTATCTTGAATCCCCAGCTCCTAGCTGCATTTAACTCACAACATCTAGAGTACAGTTCGGTAGTTACAAGTCACTTATTAAATAAGTATACCTTGGACTTTACTTGTGTATACATCTGTGTTAAGTAGCATCATCAATGAAATCAAATTAGGCTTATTTTGCAAGATTCTAGGTGGTGAAGGTATATGTGACCAATATGTGAAAATTACAGAAGCAAAGTATGGACTTTTCCCCCAGAATTAAAAGGGGCCTCTCACAGAAGTGCAGAAGGGGCGGTGAGTGGCTCTCACTCGAGGCCATTGGTCTTGCAGATAACAGGCAGTGGGGTGACCCAGTGAATGCGACAGCATTCTCACTAGGCATTGTAGTCAGAGGAACTCACCATCCCTCCAGTCTCTGGAATGTGTGATTCCATAGAATCTTGTGAATTTACAGATTAAAAGGAAGTCAGGAGACATACCAACTGAATGCAAACCAAACTGCCTTATAAGCCAAGCAGGGCAATTTGAACACTGACTGTTTTATTCAAGATTTATTTATTTTAGGTAAGATAAAAGTCTAGTGGTCATGTGAATTAGAACTCAGCCTTTAAAGGTACACACTGAAGCACTGATGACTGAATATGATGTTTGGGATTGCTTTCAAATGGTGCAGTAGGAGAAACGGGTGATTCAAGATTGGCCATGGGTTGATCATTATTGAGCTGGTTGGATACCTGAGGCTTCATTAAACTATGCTCTCTACTACTGTATCAGTTCCAAAATTTCCATAGCAGAAAGTTTAAACTTTCATAGTAGAAAAAAGCCTCATGTACACTAAGGGCTTGGATACTACTCAGTGTCAGGATAGAAAGCTACCCAAGAGCACAGTGGGAAAAATAAATGTTTTTCACTAGGTCAAAATAGAAAATTGGATATATTCAGTGCCAAGTTAATACACTCAGTATTATTTTAAAATTGGGAGAAAGGATTTAAGATTTCAATTAAGAAAGCATAGGTTCACCAGATTTTTAAAAATTTTACAACTATATTTTAATTTCAGTTGAGAATTAATATCTAGGAATGTTATTCATTCAAGGACTGATAAGGCTTTCTGGTATTTTACCACTGAAGCATCTTCCTTAGGCTCTTAAATAATAAAATTGCCGTGGAATCCTTCTTTTTAGAAGCAGATGGAATTTGAGACCTCTTTGCATGATTTTCTCTCTTTTTTAAATTGGAAGCTGGTCTGAACTAAAGGCAGATAAATGCATCATTTGAAGTCAGGATCTCTAAAAGCACCTCTCATTTCTGTCACTTCCCTGCCCAGAGCTCCCCCTGCCTCTGTCTGGGCCTAGCAGCTATAATTCTTACTTTCTCATGATGGGGTGAAACAAGAGAGGCCCGGTGTTTGTTCATCTGTTTCAAGGGACCACATTAACCCAGCGGTCTAATCAGGATGATTAGAAATGCTTCCATTAATATATATTTTATTCCTGATCTAAGTGTAAGGAATACTTTTCTAGACACCCTTTTTTCCAGAGACTTTAAAGGTTATTTCTTCAGGTCTTACACATCTGACTATTCCAGATATCTATCGTTCCCTTTCCTAAAGCCATGTAAAGTCTTTGAACTTCCCTCCCCAGCTGGGCCTGTGATATGGCACTGTGGAGAGCCGAGGGGCTCCCCTGGACTCCCAGTGCAAGCCAGAACCTCCTGGTGATGATGGATGGAAAAATGGATGCACTCCCAACTTTGTTCACATTTCTTCAAACAAAATCCTGCTTTTTCTAACAGTTTACAGTTTCTTTTCTCCCTGTACTGTGAATGTAGTTGAAAATACAGGCTGAACGTCTGTATCTGAAATCCAGAATGCTCTGAAATGCTCAAAATGTTTCAAATTTTGAAGGATTTCAGAGTTTGGATTTTTGGAGTAGGTATGCTCAATCAGGAAAGTCTATGTGAATATTTCCAAACTCAAAAAAAAAAAAAACATTGAAATCTTAGACACTTCTGCCCCAAACATTTTGGATAAGGAATATTCAACCTGTACATCAAGCTTTACTCCTTCCAGCACTTCTTTAATGATACAGACTAGTCATGCTTCCAGTGGATGACCTGGGCATATGAGAAGTGTACATTAAATATGAAATGTCTAATATGAGAAGTCTACCTTTTAAAAAATGTCTTTCCTGGGTGTCTGTTTGTATTTATGTGTCTACAGAACATGCATACTTACATAATTACATGCTCTGACTTGGGTGCAGCTTGATCTATCTCTAAATGCTCTTTCTTTGCCCCAGGCTTGAATGAAGAGTTGGTCCAGCTGCTTCTCATCCGGGATGAGCTGCACACGGAGCAAGATGCTATGCTGGTGGACATCGAAGACTTGACCAGGTCAGTCTGGCTTCACCCTTTCCAAAGGAGGAAGGAAGCTCAGGTGGTCTGAAATTTAAGAATTAGGTCAAGAATTGACTCTAGAGAACTTCATCTTTCACATCCATATATATTGCACCTAACTCCTGCTGACAATAGCCATTTACAGGAAAGTGACCAGAACTTGTCCTGACTAAATGCACCGTGTTTTAGCAGTCGTTCTCCCCTCGTGAGTTGTCAGTACATCAGGACTTCTTATGCTTTCACCTAAATCGGGCTACAGTTCTGGCCTAGGGGGACTTTGTCCTAAAGGACTGTCCCCAAGGAGTTGGCCTTAAGCCATTGCATGCTGGTGTTTCTGCCACAAAGTGACACTGGCCATTCTGCACCCCAGTTCTTTATCGTCCCTGTCATGCCCGGAAAGCAGGAGCCCTGGCATCTTTCAGCAGCCCCAGTGCCACCAGATTGCTGTCACCTTGGGGAAATTCCAGAACTTGAGTTTCCAGCTGAATTTGGCTCCAGCCACCTCTCTGTAGAGAAGAAAGGAATTGCTTCCCTCCCCAGGGGACCGAGCAGCCAGACTAATGCTGGATGAGATCTCCCACAGCTTTGGAGCTCTGCTTAGAAAAGCCTGTCATACGCGTGCATTACGCATCATGCACAGCAGTGCAGGTCAAGTACATGAAATACTGCACGTATTCCTATGATTTCAAACTCACTGAGACAGTCTGTAAGACTTACAGGGAGACAGTCGCTATTAAATCCTGAAATGTTGTTCCTGGAGTAGAAGGATCCCCATGAAAGAGCACTGCTTGTCACAGTAACAGAGGGCTTGCCCCATGGTGTCCAGACCAACCCAGGGAAATTTAAAGAACATACATGACAGTGCTCTCAGCCCCTACCACAGGACTGCTACCATGTGTAATGGTGACTAAAGTAACTTCCTAATGATGAAATGTTACAGAAATTGTTTTGTAGCGAAATGCTACAGAACTGTGCTTAGGCTCTTTTTAAGACCTATGGGCAACACTCTGTTTTATATGCTTTAAACATCTTATTGGCTTATCCTTCACTATAAAAGCAAAACAAAACACACAACCAAACAAAAAACAGTTGGCCTTCTACTCTCTGAGCATAGTACCTGCATCTGAAATGGCATACTACTCAAATAATACTATTGCCATCTACAGACGGATTTGGGCACTGCACCAAGAGCAAGTGTAAAGTAGACCCCCTTCTTCTCATCCTAAGAATGGCATAGAAGTCCACTTATAGGAAATCAGTGGTGCAATATGCAGCCATGACTTACATTTTTCAAAAAACCATCTGAGCTCTTCCATAAACTGATTTGCTTGTAAAAACAGAGAACTTTCCTGTGCCCCTCAGAGCAGAGGGCATTCCTCTTCAAGGGGGACCAACAGGGGCTCCGCCCATCTCTAAGTGTCAGGCTGATTCTTAGCTTGCAATCCATGATTTTATATCCTGACCTGGGGAACGGGGCAGGCAGGATCATGGGGTACAGAGAGGTGTCACTAGTTTAGTGGTATTTGAGAGGCCCTTCAATCAACGCAGTCCTGCCACGCACAGGGGCATGGTCTCTCCCAGTCCACCTGTAGGAAGAAGCCAGTCATCTGTCCCTGCTGCAGAAAAGAGACTTTGCTCACGGGGAGGCCCAGAATGCTTAACCATTCCTAACGGGAGCAGTTGTGGAGCTCTCCCAAGGCCAAGAGGGTGGCTGCAGGGACTGCTGGGAAATTTTGTGCACCTTTTCCTACCATTGTAGACATCAGCTCAGATCACTGGATCTCAATTTTGGTTGCTCATTAGAGCATCTGGGGAACTTTATAAAATACTGGGTCCCTCCCTCAAAGGTTCAGGTTTCACTATTCTGTGGGGTGGCTTTTCTAAGCTCCCGGGTAATTCTTAGGTGTAGCCAAATTTGAGAACCACTAGTTTCTATGACCCTTTTGTTGTTTGTTTGTTTGATTTTTATTATATTATTGTGGTACTGGAGGCACATTGTGACATTTACAAAAATCTAACGACATGTCACAGTTAAATTCGTCCCTCCATCACTCTCCTGTATCTCCTCTTCCTCCATTCCTGGCAGAGTTTCAACAGGTCTCATTTTTCCATTTTCATACACGAGTGCAAAATACATTCACCCTCCTCACCCTTTCCTTATATCCTCCCACTGGTACCGACCCCCAGATAAGACCTGTTTTACCTTTCTGTTCTCCATTTTTTTGAAAAAGGCATTTTTGTTTGTTTAAGATAGCTATTCAGAGAGTTTCATTGTGACATTTCCATGTGTATGTGTATTATAACCCAAAGTGGCTGAACCAATTTGGGTTCCATGACCCTTTTGATCCATCATCCTCGCCTTGGGATGGATTGTCAGTTCTTTAGGACTTCTTACACCTCCACCGAACTCAGAGCAACGGTTCTGGCCCAGGAGGACTTTATCCTGAAGGACAGAGCACTAGGGATTGGCCCCGAGCCACTCCAAGCTGGTGCGTTTCCCACCCATGAACAGCCACGTAGCGGGCATCATGGATTGGGACCCTCTTCTCGGTGTTCTTGGCAACAGCCCTCTCCTCCCATGTGGAGCCTACTTGCACTAATACATTTGTCTGCTGTCTGTCCCCACCTGACTAAAACTTCCCATCCCTGAAAGCAGAGATGACACCTGGCACATAGTAGGCTCTCAATAATGATTGTTAATAAAATGTTGGCATCTTTGTGGAGTTTGTGTGAAACTAATCTTCAAAAGGACTTTCATGTAAATTATTGATGAGAACCTTTTAGCTTTATGGACTGAAATCCTTTCCCTCCTTTGTTTAAAATTTTAATGAAATCCACCTTTGTGTATATGCTTAAAAGAACACCCAACTTTCAATATTTTCTGAAGCTGTTTACCTTCTGCTTTTCTTTCCCTCTCAGAAAGAGAAAGAAGGAATGTGTGTTGTTTATGCACGTGCATACACGCACACACACACACACACGTATGTAGATGTGTATTAAAGCAGTTTAACTAGCCACAGTGGCATCTTCAACATGTTTCTTAAGCTGAATTTGCTTAAGTGAGGCGTGTAAGCTGCTTTTTGAAAATGACCGAAAGCACTCTGTACGAATAAACAGGGCCATGGGGTGGTCTGCTGCAGGGTTGGTGTTTTTAAGGATGGGGAAGCTGAGATACCCTTTCCCTGAGTGTCTTTGTTATCAAATAAATATACCCACTTATCTGTGGACTGCTCAAATGGCAAGGACACTCTTGTCACTTCCCTATTTCTGAAAGTATTTGTGGTTTGTCTTCCTTGCACCATAGCTATGAGACATTCTGCATAAAAGCAGTGAGTTAAACTTGACATCACTAACTACCAAAGTTCAAGGAGCACAGACCAGTGGTCCCTAAGCCCTCATTACAGCTGGAAAACACAGCCTTGGCTGGTTTTCTCTTGCCAAATTTATAACTTCCTGAAATTGTCCAACACCATTGTCTTCTTGCAGCCTTGGGTCCTACCATTCTCTGGGAAGGGCATTCAGAGGATGCAACACCTTGGCCGTTCCTCCTCCTCTGTTCCCACCATCCAGTTGCTGGGTTGGCTAACTTTGGGCTCACACCTCAGCCTGGCCTCCCCTCACTGCTGTGACTATGTGTGAAAGTTTAGCTGAGGAGAAAGAACTTATGCCAAATGGAAATCTTTATAGCCACAAAGGCCACAGCCGTTTTTATGAAAGCATGTCAAGTTGTCAAGAGCCTCAGCTAATCCCTGGATTGTGTCCACATGTGTGTGTTTAGATAATCACTCACTTAATTCTCAACCACATCTGTTTTGGATTTTTTAACTGTTTTGTTTTGTTTTGTTTTTGCAGTACTGGTGATCGAACCCAAGGCCTCCCATATGTGTAGCTCAGGCGCTGAGCTCCAGTCCCAGCCCCGAACGTTTATTTGCTGTTTCCTTTCTTGTCTCTCTTCATTGAAGCATGTCTTGCTCACCACCAAACCCCCATCACCAGACACAGTGCCTGGAATATGAAAGGCACATTTTAAAATATTTGTTGATGAAAGTATCCCACATACTTACCTCTTTTTTGTTGCTGTTAGTACTGGGGTTTGAATTCAGGACCTCACATTTATTAGGCCACTTGAGCCACTCTCCCAGCCTTTTTTTGCTTTAGTTGTTTTTTGGATGGAGTCTCACATTTTTTGCCTGGGACCAGCTGCAGACTGCAGTCCTCCTATCTATGCCTGCCACATAGCTGAGATTATGGATGTGCACCACCATAACCAGAATATTTGTTGAGATGTAATCTTGATAATTTATCCTTGATCCTCCTGGTCTTCACCTCCTGAATAGCTGGGATTACAGGCATGAGTCACCATGCCCAGCCCCTACAGCTTTTCACTTTTAAGCACAATGTTTCTCTTCTCCAAGGTAGTGATATCTATAAGTCTCAAGTTAGTCAGTGAAATGAAGGAATCAGATATAGACTATAAAAATTAAAGAGGTCTAATCGGTTTAAACAAAGTGCTTTTACTTGGTTCTGAGGTATTCCACTTTGAGTAACTCCGAACCTTGGTTCGAAGGATATTTTAACTGTTGATTGAAAAGCAGTTCAGAACTTTCTTCTTAGTGCTAAATAATTATCTTCTTAATTTCACAGACATGCTGAGAGTCAGCAGAAGCACATGGCAGAGAAAATGCCTGCAAAGTGAAGAGAAGCCATCCAAGCAGAGGACATGCTAAAATTTATTTTGCTTCTGTGGTTGTAAACGCTGTTGCTAGCAGTGGCCTGGAAACACACAATGTCAGTGTTAGTCATTGAGAGTGTCTGAAGCTTCGTGTCCAGTGATTGGCCTTTGCTTCTTAATTTATTTCCATTTTTTTTACTTGTGACACTTAATATCAGGCATTTTAATAAAATATTGTTACAAAAAATGTACAGTACTGACACCATCACAAGTCATGGTTAATCAAAGAGGGTAGTTTTAACTTTGTTTTTATTTCTTTAGAGGTTTTAAGTTGGAGCAGTATTTTCCCATTGACTACTTTCATTCTTCACTGTAGTTTTAAAGAACTGTAAATGACGGTGCTATCCAAGTCAAAAAATACATGCCTGCCTCGTAGTGACGTTGTAGCTCTCCGTAATATGGATATTTTAATCAGTTTTCAACATTTTGTGAATGTTGACTACCTGAGGTTCATTTTTAGATGTGCTATTAACATTCTGTTGGAGTCAGAGGGTTCCTTGAAAGTTTTATGTATAAATATGTAAAATAAAAATTAAAACTTTGTTTCATATGATATGTCTTTTTCCTCACTAACAAAACTGGCTGTATTTCCTTGCCCTTAACCCTTTTACAGCTCAAATTCCCACCAAGATGTTTTTATCAGTGAAAACACAATTGCTGCAGAAGGTGGACCAGATAGCTCCTTGCCGGGAGACTGTGAGTGTGCGGGTCACAGCGTGTGTGAACGTGTGTACGTGAGTGTGAGTATAAGAAAGTCTGCATAGGTCAAAGGTCAGTAACATCAGAGCCAGCCTCTCCATTCCTTCTTGAAGCTCTCAGTCTCAAATACTAGCACTTTACCCTTTAATAGCTGCTGGTCTTGTTGGAGCCTCTTATTTCCTCAAAACTCTTATTTAGCAAATTCAGCATGGGAGCAGAGGATGTTTGCATTCACTCTGTTCGCAAGGCCAGTTGGTGCTATTTTAAAACTTTCAGCCACTTGACTGGTCTCAAAACATTTTCAAGTCTACGATAGATTCTAGACTGTTTCCCACTGGGTAGAGAATTTCAGAAAATAGATTTCCTTAGCTGATGTCCACGCGGGGATTAGAGAACATAAACTAAACCAGAGATGGGCAGTTGAGCATTCCAGAACCACTGGGCCACCTGGTGTTGCCGTGAGGTCCATGATGTAAGCTGAAGCTAGAACTTTACAAAACTAGCTCCATTCTCCTTTCTCAAAATTACTCAGTTAAGTATTGTAAGTAATTAAAAGAATAGCAGTTTTTGTATTTAACAAAACAACACTAATCACTTTTTATGAGCCTCACTCAGTCAATTATTTCCATTCAGAATAGATAAAAACACATAGGCAATAAATGTCATTTTGTCTGCTGGGCAGAGCAGGTTGCTGCCCACCACAAGGTAAAGGTTGTAGCCCATAGTCCTCTACCTGGACCCTAAAGTCCCACATCAACTGTCAGGGGTCTCCTGGGTGACCTCAGCCCTGTGAGTCCAAGCACAGCTGCTCATTGTGTACAGTGAGTGACAACACCGGCCGTTAAGTCAGCAGTTCTCACCTTCAGCTTAACCTGAGTAGCTTCAGAGACCACTGACTGGTCTGACCCTACAGATGCCAATCGTTCTCAGTGTGGCCTTAGTGCCTTTTAAAGGTCCCCAGGTGACACTAATGTTGACAACCACTTCCATAGACTTCTCTTTTTTAGATTCTTTTAAACCATGCTTGTTTCTACTTAAAGAATGTCACATTCCTATTAATTTGGACCTTTGGGGGAATACCTACAGAAAAAGGACGATGAAGGTAGCTTGGTCTTCCAGTCCTCCTGTGCTGACCACAACCTGAGTGCTGACACTGCAACTCCACACAGAGAAAGACTATCTGGATTTTTTTTAGATCCTTGCCAGATTGCGAATTCCAATAAAAATCTAGAAATGAGTTTTGTCTGTGTCTTAGTGCAATTTCTCTATGGCCTCTCAACTGTTTGAAGCCCACAATCATCATTAAAGAACCCCTCACTCAAGAAAAAAGGGAGAGGGCAGAGTGGCTCCAGTGGCAGAGCGCCTGCCTAGCAAGCGTGAGGCCCTGAGTTCAAACCCCAGTACTGCAAACAAACAAGAAGAAGAAAAGGAGACTTTGCCCTGAAAGGGAGCCTCAAAACACCTCCAAGGCTGGGCGCAGGTGGCTCATGCCTATAATTCTAGCTACTCAGGAGGCAGAAATCAGGAGGATTGTGGTTCGAAGCCAGTCCCAGGCAAATAGTTTGCAAGACCCTACATCGGAAATACTGAACACAAAATAGAGCTGGTGGAGTGACTCAAGTGATAGAGTGCCTGCCTAGCAAGTGTGAGGCCCTGACTTCAAACTCCAAAAACAAAAAAAAACACCACCAAGGTTAGCGCCTAGCTAATAAAGCAATTCTTCACACACCCCTGAGGCACTAGAGAAGAGCGGCATTCAGTTGACTGGAGCCCCACTCACACTTTTCCAACCCTGGTAGAAATGTCACCAAGTGACTCTTCCAACTGGATTCTTTGGAGACCAGGGCATCCCAGCCCTGCTTAGGACTGCCAGAAAGGAGGGGTTATTACCTACACCAGATCGCCCTTCCACACACAAACTAGAACCCCCTATTAGTTCAGCAGACTTAGAATTCCAGAGTGACTGTCTCAAAAATAGAGCCCCGCTGTCTTGCATAGTTGAGGAATAGGCAAGAGGCTTGGGCTCTGGCTGCCAGGACCAGCTCCAAAAACTCCCCATCTCCCTAGGGTGTGGTCTTACACAAGCTACTAAAGGTTTGTCTGACTTTATCACTTGTTAATGCTGTCCTGGGTTTATTGTAAAGATAGGATAAAATCACATTCATGAAAGCACCGGCACTCATAACGATGCTTAAATAATTATTGAATAAATAATATTGAATACATAATAATTGTTGAATGAAGAAGTAAATAATCAGGGCTTCGTCGATGGCCATTATGTATTTTACCAGTTTCTGAGATTTTCACATACCCTTATGGGGTTATTTCTTAAATATTAATTATTAATTTGCAAAAAAAGAGACGCTTAAGGAAAACACAAGTAGTGTCATTTAAATCTTCAAGCACCCATCCTTCCTCAAATATCAATGTTAAAATGTGGACTGTATTCTTAGATACCTCTCTCTGTGTTGCTGCAAACACGTATGCATTATTCACTTTTATACCAAGGCAGGATTGCATGAAATGGCTTTGCAATGTGCCTCACCCAGGGACATCCCTCACAGTCAGTGCATGCAGATCCAAGCCACTTTCTTTCACAGGTACGTAGTAGTCCTGTATCTGTACAGCACACTTTATTCAGCCATTCCCTTTAGTGACAGGTATTAAGGAACCTCCCAGATTTCTGCCACTAAAACCAGTGAAGCATGGTCATGCTTGTAACTTATTTACTTGTGGCTTTTATCCTATGATTACCTCATTTTTTTCTTTAACCATGACTGTCTCAGGTACAAAGAACAAGTAAAACTGAGGAAAACCAGGCAAGACTATTGCACATAAGTTTGATTCTTTGCAACAAAATCAGACAAATCCTTATGTCTGACAAACACCTAACTCCTTTCCATTTTTATTTTATTTCTTTTTCTTTCTTTATATTTATTTTGGCAGCACTGGGGTTTGAACTCATCATTTCCATCTTAAACATTCAGCTTGAGTGTCACTTTCTTGATGAAATGCTCCGTTTCTCCTCTCCCCACATACCCTACAAAACTCTCCTCTACCTACTGAATATGGAATTTTCTCCATTTCCCGTTTGAGGGTGGAGGCAACCCACAGCCACCTCTGCGAGTCCAGCCCCAAATCAAACAGGCAGCTCCCACTTAAAGATGGGTATGTGAAAAACTGATCATTACTAACCCTTACCTTTCAGCACTTCCACTGACTGGTGGCACTCCACTCTTTCTGATGCATGCCATCTTCCCTGTAGACTGAGAGGCAAGTCCCTCAGACTAACTTTCAGGTTTACTCACTGTTGCCAAGGGTAATCCCCATGACTGGTTGATTTTACCTTAAGTCTTAAGATCTGGAGATTTCTTTTCACCGGATTTGTCATCACTGATAACAGTCCTCACAGATACAGTTAGCCGTCAACTAAAATCCATGTCTCTCCACTATGTTCATGGGGAGTGGCTAATCAGAAAGGTTCTACCCACCAATGCTTGATCCTTACCCTTACGCAAGCTGCAATCACAAGGCTCTAGAGGATGTCAGAACCACAAAATGGAAGGACTCTGGGTCCTGAGTCACCACATGGGGACAACTGCCCCCCATCAAGTAGGATTTGCCTCGGAGTGTTACAAGAGTAAGGACAAGACCTGTGGGTTGTTGTTTTGCAGTGCTAGAGATGGAACCCACGACCCTGTGTATACGAGGCAAGTGCTCTACCACCGAGCTACAGCCCCAGTCAAACCCTGTGTTCTCAACCAAAAGGCCACAATATTTCTTGCCTGTAGAAAATCATCTGTAGGTTGGTAACTACCTTTTTTTAGTTCATGGACCTCTTCGGTTTTGGTTGAATTCTGTTTCCCATTCTACCTTTTCCTTTAGCCACTGTGACAGAAACCACAAAGTCAAAATAAGATTTGTCACAAACAATTCTTAATATAATCTAGAAAATGGATTTGTATGATGATGCCAGGAGTACAAACATTTGTCTGGTGACTACAGATGATGTTTTTGATGTGTATCTGGAAAAGTCTTGGACTTCCACAATCTCAGGACCACACTTTGATTATTGCAACCCCATCTGAGCCCTGATGCTTACCAAGCGCCATTGCCATTTATTTTGTCTAAATAAGATAGCCATGCATTCCTTATGAGATAGGGTGATGGCAATGAGTCTTTCAGGACATTTTCATTGAGGCTTATAATGACTTGCAAAATGTGTCACTCTAATTTCTGAGTGAGAATCCAAAAGACCTTTCATTGAATAGCTTTGGTTAAAAAAAAAAAACAGCAAAAATAATTGCAACAAATTCTTTTCCATACAGTTCCCTGTTCTAGAATAATGTTGTAACACTGTTCATGTTTTAAAAACTTTTAATCCCACTTCCATGCACTATAGCATAAAAGAACATGATTTTTTTAAAAAGTAATACTTACAGGGAAAGTGATTTTATTTTCACCCTCCAGACTAGACAGTCAAACTTTCGTGTTGATTATTTTCTACCAGATTCTCTTTTCTTTTCTTTTATAGTCAATCAATACTTTATTTGCTTTTTGGCTTTTCAAAAAATAGTGATGTGTATCTTGGCTTTGGTAAGATACAGACAAGGCTGGAAATAGGTTCTTTAATTTTCTGCCTCATAAAGTTACTTCCTTCCAGACGTCTATTAGTTCTCAGGAGAAATTACAGTGTGTACTGATGTGTCTTCTCACCTTGACTGGGGTCTTTTGGGGTCACAGGACATCCCCATGTATTAGAGATGGCATTTGAAAAAGTCAGGAACCTATCCTGCACCTTATGAGCCATATAGATGTTAGGGTTCAAGGTGAAGACAGTATGGGTGCTTATAGAT